CTGATGTGTTCATTATTTGTACATATCCCACCGTACTGAAAAATCTGAAAGAAAAGTTTAAAAACTAAAAGCATAAATCACTGTTCCCAAACAAGAAAATCTAAAGCTAATTTAAAATACTTAATTGAATAAAAATATCATAATAATAAAACAAGCTGATGTAGTGGCAAATATCCACACTCTCAACACTCAGAAGACTGGTAAGTTTGAGGCCAGCCTGGACTACTACATGAGAAGACACTGTTTCAAACATCAAATCAAATTTTAAAAATGATATAAAATGTATAAAATGCAGTTGACACAATACTGAAAAGCTATCTTAGCATTTCTAGTGCTGTAAAGAGACACTATGACCATGACAATTGTTTTTTTTTTTAATTTTTAAAATTTATTTTATAACCCAACCACAGTTTCCCCTCCCTCCACTCCTTCCCCACACTTTCCTCCGCCACTAACTTCTTCAATCTACCTCTCTTCTGTTTTTGTTCAGAAATGGGCAGGCCCAACAAGGGTGTCAACCAAGTATGGCATATTAAGTAGAGGTAGGACGAAGCTCTTCTCCTTACATTAAGACTGGAAAAGGCAACCCAGTATGAGGAATAGGTTCTCAAAAGCCAGCCAAAGCATTAGGGACAGAGCCTCCCCTACCTCCCGGCTCCCATTGTTAGTAGTCTCACAAATAGACTAAGATACACAACTGTCACATCCTACATCAGTCCCATGCAGACTTCCTGGTTGTTGGTTCAGACTCTTTGAGCTCCTATGAGCCAGGTTAGTTGTTTCTGTGGGTTTTCTTGTGATATCAGTGACCCTCCAGGCTGCTACAATCCTTCCCTTTCTTCAGCAGAATTCCCTGAGCTTAGTCAATGTTTGGCTGTGGCCCTCTGCACCTTTTTCCATCAGTTACTGGAAGAAGGCTCTCTGGTGATAATTGGGGTAGTCAACAATCTGATCACAGGGGATGATGTAAATGAAGACTGCACTTTCATTAACCAGACACCCAGACCCGAAAAATCACACAGAAACTATATTAACTACAACACTGTTTAGCTGATGGCTCAGGCTATTTCTAACTAGCTTTTACATCTTAAATTAATCCATTTCTACTAATCTATATATTGCTGCGTGGACATGGTGTTACCTCATTTTCTACATGTCTTATTTCCTTGGCAGCTGGCAGGCCGGCATCTGACCTGACTTCACTTTCTTTTTCTCTGCATCTCTGCGCTGATTTCCCACCTGGCCTTACTCTGCTAAGCCACTGGCCAAAACAGCTTTATTAATCAACCCATAAAAGCAACATATATACAGAAGAACATCCCACATCAGGATGGCCTGTTCTAGCTTCATATTCACTATTGCTAGGAGTCTTAGCTGTGGTCATCCTTGTAGATTCATGGAAGTTTCCCTTGTGTCAGGCTTTAAACCTGACCCTGAAAAGCCTCTCTCAGCATTCTCCCCCTTCACCCATGCCCAAATCCAATCCCTCAAGTTTCCATGCCCATCAGCCCCTAGTCCACCAGAAGATCTATTCCCCCTTCACAGGGAGATCCATGCGTCCCCCACTTGGATCCTCCTTGTTACCTAACCTCTCTGGAGCTGGAGCGATGGCTCAGCAGCTAAGAACACTAGCTGCTCTTCTAGGGGACATGGGTTCAAACCCCAGCACCAATATGGCGGCTCACATCCATTTGTAACTCCAGTTCCAGGGGATCTGAAACCTTCTTCTGATCTCCACAGATGGTGCATACACATGCATCCAGGCAAAACACTCATACACAATAAATAATAATAATAATAATAAACCCTAACCTCTCTGGATATATGGATTGTAAAATGATTATCCTTTACAGCTAATATCCACTTATGAGTGAGTACATAAGATGTCTCTTTCTGAATCTGGGTTACCTCACTCAGATGATTTTTTACTAGATCCATCCATTTGCCTTCATAGTTTCTGATGTCATTGTTTTTAATGGGTAATACTCCACTATGCAAATGTACTACATTTTCTTTATCCATTCTTTGGTTGAGGGGCATCTAGGTTGCTTCCAGGTTCCAGCAATTACAAATAAAGCAACTATGAACATAGCTGATAAAGTGTCCTGGTAGTATGATTGAGCATTCTGTGAGAATATGCTGAAGAGTAGTGTCACTGGACCTTAAGCAGATTAAGCCCAATTTTCTGAGAAACTGCCATACTGATTCAAAAGTGACTGTACAAGTTTACACTCCTACCAGTAGTGAAGGAGAGTTCCCCTTGTTCTACATCCTCTCCAGCATGAATGGTCATTTGTGTTTTTAATCTTAGCCATTCTGATAGGTATAAAATAGAATCTCAGAGTTGTTCTGATTTGCATTCCCTCATGGCTAAGGATGTTTAACATTCCTGTTTTTTTGTTTTTGTTTTTGTTTTTTTGGTTTTTTTTACTGTCATTTTAGATTATTCTGCTGAGAATTTTCTGTTTAGGTCTATACCCCGTTTTTTTATTTGATTATTTGGTTTGTTGATATCTAGTTTCTTGAGTTCCTTACATATTTTGGAGATCAGCCGTCTGTTGGATGTGGCATTGGTAAAGATATTTCCTCATTTTGTTGTCTGTCATTATGTCCTATTGACAGTGTCTTTTGCCTTATAGAAGCTTTTCAGTTTTATGAGATCCCATTGATTGATTATTGATATTAGTGTTTGTGCTATTGGTATTCTATTCAGGAGGTTGTCTCCTGTGCCAATGCATTCAAGGGGAATCCCCACTTTCTCTTCTATCAAGTTCAGTGTAACGGCATTTATGTTGAAGTATTTGATCCATATAGACTTGAATTTTGTGAAGGGTGATAGATATGGATCTATTTGCATTCTTCTACATGCTAACATCTAGTTATGCCAAAACTAATTGTTGAAGATGCTTTATTTTCTCCATTGTATAATTTTGGCTTTTTTTTTTGTCAAAAATCAAGTGTCCACAGTTTATATTTGGGGCTTCAATTCAATGTGCTTGTTTTTATGCCAATACAATACTGTATTTGTTACTATATCTCTGTAGTAGAGCTTGAAATCAGGGATGTTGATACCTCCAGCAGTTTTTTTTATTTTATAGGATTTTTGTAGCAATCTTGGTTTTATTGTTTCTCCATATGAATTTGAGTATTGTTCTTTCAAGGTCTGTAAAGAATTGTGTTGGAATTTTGATAAGTACTTGTTTAATATGTTTATTTCTTTTGGTAAAATGGCCATTTTTGCTATGTTAATCCTACTGATCCATGAGCACAGGAAGTCTTTCCATCTTCTGATATCTTCAATTTCTCTCTTCAAAGACTTGAACTTCTTGTTATACAGGTCTTTCACTTGCTTGGTTAGAGTTACCATAAGATATAAATATAAATGGTTTGTGGCTACTATCAAGGGAGTTGTTTCCCTTATTTCACTCTCAGCCCATCATTTGTAAATAAGAGGGTTACTGATTTTTTTTTCCTATTTAATCTTGTATCCAGCTACTTTGCTAAAGGTGTTCATCAGCTTGGGAGTTTCCTGGTAAAATTTTTGGGGTCAATTTTTGGGGTATACTGTCATCTGCAACCAGCATACTCTGAGATCTTTTTTCATATATATATCCTTGATTTCCTTTTGTTGTCTTATTGCTATAGCTATAACTTCAAATACTATATTGAATAGATATAGAGAGAGCAGACAGTCTTGTCTTGATCCTGATTTTAGTGGAATTGCTTTGAGTGTCTTTCTGTTTAATATGGTGTTGACTGTTGATTTGCTATGAGTTGCTTTTTATTATATCTAGGCATGTTCTTTGTATCCTTGATCTCTCTGAGACTTTTATAATAAAGAAGTGCTTTGTCAAAGGCTTTTCCAGCACCTAATGAGATGGTCATGTGGTTTTTCTCTTTCAGATGGTTTATATGGTGAATTACATTGACAGATTTTCCATATCTTGAACCATCCCAGAATCTCTGGGATGAAGCCTACTTGATCATGGTGGGTGGCCCTTTTTATGAGTTCTTGGATTCAGTTTGCCAGTATTTTACTGAGTATTCTTGTATCAATGTTCATGAGGGGCATTGGTCTGTAATTCTCTTTCTTTGTTTAGTATTTGAGTGGCTTGGGTATCAGGGCAACTGTGGCCTAAAAAAAAATTAGAAATGCTCCTTCAGTTTCTACTTTGTGGAATACTTTGAGGAGTACTGGTATTTGCTTTTCTTTGAAACTCTGGTAAAATTCTGCACTGAAATCAACTGGTCCTGGGCTTTTCTTGCTTGAGAGACTTTTAATGGTTGCTTCTATTTCCTTAGGGGCTATAGATCTCTTTAAATTGTTTATTTGATCTTGACTTAATTTTAGTATGTGGTATCTATCAAGAAATTTGTCTGTTTCTTTTAGATTTTTCCAACTTTTGGAGTAAAGGCTTTTGACCAAAACAATGGCAATATCAAATAAACATGTAAACAAGGTATGAGGGAAATCTTAGAGGTCACACTCAAACAATGAACTATAGGCAACTAATGATCTTCGGGAGAAGAATTAGCCACTCCTCGGGAATGAGCTCTCTTATTGGTTGGTCAGTACAGAACAGGGAGCCTTGAAACCATATATATATACCACCAACAAAAACATATTCAGCAGATTATATTTATACATATTTGTATATATGTACATATACGTATGTAACAACAATAAAGAAAAAGAGGCTTTCAACTTGTGAGTTGTAGGGATCATGGCAGGACTTCAAAGGAGGGAAGGTGGGAGAAGTTAGAGTGAGAAAAGGGAGGGGGAAATAGGTAATTATATTTCAATTTAAAACATATTTTTAAAGCCACCATAAAAAAGTAAAAATAAACAAAATGTCCTGTAAGATACCTTTCTCATCCAGATATTTTTTGACACCATGAGGAACAATGACATGACAGACCTAAAACTTTTTGGTTTTTCTTTACACCAGTGGCAATGTAAGTTTATAAAACAAGGAAGCAAAAAGGGTTCATTGACTTACGTTCACATTCTCTGACATCCAGGTTGAACTGCTGTAATGCTCCCAAAGTGAGCTGCCTTACTTCTGCTTCCAGCAACAATTGCATCAAGGATGTGGCTAAATGCTTGCAAGCTGACATACAAGCTGTCTGGGCTACCTTTCCCTGAAATACAAACATGTAAACCAGAAAATCAATGGATTAAAATGAAATGCTGTGTAAATCAATTCATTTAGTTGTTTATTATTTAAGACAGTATCTCACATATCCCAGAATGGCTTTGTACTTGCTATGTAACTAAGGATGACTTTGAATTTCTAATCTTACTGTCTCAACCTCCTAAATGTTAGGTTTGTAGGTATGCACCACCATGCTAAGCTGGGGGTCAAACTTAGGTCTCTGTGCATTCTAGGCAAGCACCCTACCAACTGTGGGCATCCCCAGATATGAAAGTTTAAATAACTTATTCTGTTCTTCAATTAAGAATTTCTTTAAAGTTCTCCCTATCATAATACTCATAAACCTAACAGCCTTGGAATTAAACAAATGCTAACAGCAATTATAATAGTGACTCCAATTCAACCTGTAATTGTAATTAGAACAGTAAGCTATATTTACAAAACCCAACTATGGAGCCAAGAAGAGTATTTTAAAAATTAACACTAGAGAAGCAATATTCAAAAATGAACTGAGAAAGAATATTACAGAGAAAATAAATTTGAAAAAGTCTCTTCCAAGGCCGGGCGGTGGTGGCGCACGCCTTTAATCCCAGCACTCGGGAGGCAGAGGCAGGCGGATCTCTGTGAGTTCGAGACCAGCCTGGTCTACAGAGCTAGTTCCAGGACAGGCTCCAAAGCCACAGAGAAACCCTGTCTCGAAAAACCAAAAAAATAAAAAAATAAAATAAAAAATAAAAAGTCTCTTCCAAGAAAATTCTTTACAAATTCTAGCAATAGTCTCTAGATATAAATCAGTACTTACTGTTTTATGATTTGTCAGTAAACTCAAAACAAAAATGGCCTCCAAAATGTAACTAAAAAGGTGAATTTTATTTTCTTAAAAAAATTGAGATTTACAAATTAATTCTAAGCTAATTTTAAAAACAGATTTAAAATTAATAATTAACCATCTTTATGAAGGCATTCAAAGCACTAACATTACAAACACAGTCTGTGCTCCTGGATGACAGCACTAACTGCTGTCCTACTTGGTATCAGAAGTGGAGATTGTTGGTATTAAGTTATGTACACTCTAAGTATTGTACGAGGGATCCATCTCTATTACCACAAAGAGGAAAAAGAAAAGAAAAAGAGGGTGCTGGAGAGATGGCTCAGTGGTTAAGAGCATTGCCTTCTCTTCCAAAGGTCCTGAGTTCAATTCCCAGCAACCACATGGTGGCTCACAACCATCTGTAATGAGGTCTGGTGTCCTCTTCTGGCCTGCAGACATACAGACAGAATATTGTATACATAATAAATAAATAAATATTTAGAAAAAAATTTAAAAAAAGAAAAGAAAAAGAAATGATGCTAAGATAAATATCTAACAGGTCGTTCTTCATGTCAACCCGCAGCCATACCCATGCCACCTGTGGTCACACCTATGCCGCACTTCCCTTATCATGGATCCTGTCGTGGCCTGCCACAGAACAGATTCTTTTGAATCACATCTTTAAGATTTCTTCTCACTAAACAGCAAATTCTCACCCCTTCTTTCCCCCAACATGCAAATGTGGAGGCCAATGCTTAACATAGGTCCTAACTTGCTACTCTTCTGGTGTCTTTACTGGCGGTTGGGGATAAGTGGAGTTTGAATACCTCCCCTCATTGTATGAATCCTGGTAACTATTCACCTTCTGCACATTTGGTAGTTTTGTATTTGTTCATTACTATTATGTTTGCCTGATCTCATAGATTTTACTTCACATGTGGAAACATGAGCTGCAACTTCCCAAGAATCCCAATGCTCATTTCACACTCCATTCCTCAGATGGCTTCTTCAACACTCAACTACTTCCTTGGACATAGCAGTCACTCTGTCCCAAGCTCTGGCCACAGTCTTCCTAGGACAACAGCACTACCATTCCTCAGGGTTCAACAGCACAGGATTGTGGAGTTCTGATTATCTTCTTTCTCTGGGATCACCACCCTGCAGTGCACTGTTGCCAACTGTCCAACAGAAAGCATCTAGTCTAGGGCTCAACATCAAGGCTGGTTCCAGTTACTGTGTCACAATTAATGGTGAGTATCTCATTTTGGGTGGGTATGTGTGTGCGTATGTGTGTGTGTGCATGTATGTATGTGTGTAATATACTTATGCTAAGTATATACTGATAACTATATAAGTATAATCTATTTTTCTTCCAAAATTTCTGAAGTTTCAATTATTGTCCTCTGGCCCTATCACATCTATAAGAATTCCACTGTTATTCTTACTATGCCCAATGTGCCTTTGTTCTAAAGAACAAAGAAAGTCCTTTAATTTTTTAATAAATAATAAGACTTTAAAATTATCATTTTATTTTTAATAAATAATTATTTATTTTTAATAAATAATATTTTGTTTTAATTAAGTAATTATTTATTTCAAGTAGCAATTATTGTTTTTAATAAATAATAAAATAATCTTTTTATTTTTTAAACACAGGGTTCATGTAGACTAGGCTGACCTCAAACTAGCTATTAACCTGAGGAGTGGTCTTGAATTCCTGATCCTCATGTCTCTACTGCCCACATACTCACACTTTAGGCAGTGCCAAGAATGAACCCAGGGATTGATGGGTGCTAGGTAAGCATTCTACCAAACTGAGCAACATCCCAAATCCACTAAGATTTCTTTTTCTCTACATTCAGCATCAGCAACCTTACCATTATTTACCTACAATAAATGTTCTTTCAATGTACAACACGTCTCTATGACCTTGCAGAATATGGAGTAAGGCATCTTCTCTGGTATGGAGGCATCTTGAGTACAACTTCCTAGAATGATGCTTTTGTACTGCCTTCTCTTCTTCTCTTAAAACACTGAGAGTAGAGAGGCCCACAGTGTGCTCTGTGTAGTCTTACAGGCACTATTAAGAGGTGTAGCTTTGTTGGAGTGGGTACGGCCTTGTTGGGGGAAGTGTGTCACTGTGGGGGCAGGCTGTGAGGTCTCAGATACGCTCAGGCTTCATTCAGTGTGCCACACAGACCACTTCCTGTTTGTTGCCTGCAAGATATAAGATTCTCAGCTACTTCTCCAGAACCATGTCTATCTGAACACTGCCATAATCCTAGTCATATGCACACATCCCCGCCCCCGTGATGATAATGGACTAAACCTCTAAAACTGTAATCCACCACCTCAATGGAATGTTTTCCTTCATAAGATTGGTCATGGGATCTCTTCCCAGGAACAGAAACCTTAAGACACCTACCCTGAAGACAAGCTGTGGTTTCTTTCTTTGGTTTTCTTATGTTAACACCAACATGTGAATCATCTCAGGACCTGGACCTATCAACTATGCAAACTTTTATTGTAAGTCAGTTTTCCTTCTCAATAGCATTTTAGAAAGTCTTGGTTTGTACGCATGCCTTGCAGGTGAGATACTATACAGTCTCCAGATACACTTCTCAGCCTCAACAGAGCTTGAAATTTTGCTCTAGCAAGCAGCTAGACCGGCAGATTGTCTTGATTTTGTTAAACTTGTTTTTAACTTTATTATTATGGGATCTATGCTCATCTTGCCTTTACTCTGGGAGCCTTGTTGTTAGTTCCTATGCATTGCCCTCTGGAAAACTGGTGAAAACAGCATAGTTTTCACCAGTTTTCTCCATGGACACAATCCTCTAGGAATCTGTCTGGCAACTTCTGGAATGTCTGCTCAGTTCACAGTCTTCAGCAGCAATTGTCTTCCAATCCTGCATAGTATCTCTCTGCCTGTGTAGCTTAACAACTAGCCAACAACCAAGAGTAACTTAATGAGGTTTGGTGTTTTTTTGAAGAGTTCTCTTTTCTCATTTATCTTGTATTCTGCTTATTTAATTATAGTTCTACTGATATAACAAACATTGACTAAAGTACCTCCTTCATTGGACAATGCTATGGTTTCATATTTTCTCCAAAATTTACAGTAGTTTGTGAATAAAGAAGATAAGTTCAACTTAGCGTTAAACAACCATACCTCAAAAAGAAAATCTTTATTTTCTTTTTATTTTTTAAATTTTGTTTTAGTCTCTTTTTAAATACAGATTTTTACCATGCAGCCCAGCCTGAACTCAAACTTGCACCAATACTTCTGCCTGGGCCTTTTGAGCAGTAGGATTATAGGTGTGCAACATTATACCCAGTAATCGCAGGGTCTCACTATACAGCCCTAGGGTAGTTTGAGTATAATCGGTCACCACAATCTCATAGGGAGAGGCATTATTAGGAGTTGAGGCTTGTTGGAGGAAGTGTGTCACTGTGGAAGTAGACTTTGAGGTTTCCTACGCTCAGGATACTACCTAGTGTCTCAGTTGACTTCCTGTTGACAGCAAGATGTAGGCCTTTCAACTATTACTTCAGTACCACATTTGCCTGTATACAGCCATGCTCCCTGTCATGATGATAAATGACTAAACCTCTGAAACTGTAAGCAAGTCACTTCAATTAAATGTTTTCTTTATAAGAGTTGCCATGGTCATGGTGGCTTTTTACAGCAATAGAAATCCCAACTACGACAAGCACAGACTGGCCCCCAATGTGTCAGCCTTCTATTCTGCTTCCTGGTTGTTGGTATTATAGCATGTGTCGCATACCTGGCTCAGAATCTTTTTAATTTACCAATATATATCAAACAAGGCCGGGGGGGGGGGCCTCTAAGAGTCATTTAAAGAAAGTCTTCATATTTAACAGTTTCCTGTGTCTGAGTACTAAGCACTCAGTACTTTCCATTACCACTTGGCAAACGCTTTTGCTTCATAAAAAAAAAAAATCTGCGTCTTTTGAATTAAAATTGACAATAAAGGATGAGAATTAAAACCATTAATGAGTGCACAAATATAAACATGACCTAAAACACTGATTTTTACCTTTTTCTCCATTTTAGCATGTGCAAACTAAGATTATTTTAATCAGAGTTAAAAAAAAAATAAAAACCAGTGCTATGCAGCACAGCTCCTAGCTTGCATTAAGTGCTCAGCAAG